GGGGGGGAGGGGGGCGGGAGTGGAGTGGTGGTGTGTGCGGGTTTCGCGCGAGGGGATTTGAGGCAGGGGGAGGGTTTGGGTAGGTACAATGAATGGCTACGTGGCGTAGATCCTTTGGCACTTGTTTGGGCCACGTAAGAGAAAGGGTAGGAGATAATGGCTGGAAAGGAGGGAAGCTAGAAAGAAGTAAAACCAAGAAAGCAAGAAAAGCAAGCGAAGACCCGCCATTAATAGCTTTACCTAAGCACCAGATTCATAAATACGGAAACTTTACCTAAGCATCAGCTTCAAACGGAAGCTTCAAGCAAATAAAAAAGCCGTTATTAGCAAGGGACTTCCGCGTTTATGAAGCCGAAGCTAGATAAAGCTGAAGAATCTAATAGCTGATAGTTAGGTGAAGCTGAGAGCTCTGAGCTTTACCGTAAGCATTAGTTTCATAAACAGCTTCATAAGTAAGCGTCTCCTTGGTATTTCGTTCTCAGCGTAGAATGTGTCAAATGGTATTTACTGGGTTCTAAATGAACGCTAGAAATAGCGACACCGAATTGAAAGAATTTGCATGGACCCTCTAATAGCTCCCGCAATGGAAGATTATGGAGGTGGATGCGACGGGTTCAGAACCAAATGAACAGAAATACTGTCAGCTAAAACCAATGGTTAAAAGGTCTGCAACCAGCTCTTTAAAGTATCTATAGGGATTTCTGACTAGGAATTTTCCATGACCATCGATAGGTTTTTTGGACTAACAAAGGAAAAGCTTCGGCATCATTGAGACAAAATCACTTGTCGATGTGAACATATCAGATAGCTCTTTCTGAGCAGGGTGCTCCCACTCCTATCTCTTCATTTACATCTCCACAAGGTAGGGTCTTCAGTTTCTTTCATGCGGACCACTGCAAAAAATTGCGACAGCGGTCAGCAACCTCAAAGGTAAGTAAATGGTATTTTTAAGACGGTACTCTCAGATGTGCAAGGGCGCCTCCGCAATCGTTTAAAAAAACTTGACAGCTTCAAATTTATACACGCCTATTTCAAAAGTTCATTTTTTGTTGATTTTTCGTGCAAAGTGCTTTAGTACTAACCCACTCTGTACATTCAGGCACGAACGACGCGACAAAAAATCCATCAGTCAACACTGGATAAAATGCTGCGCAAAAATAAAAATGAAACACTTGCCGCTGATAAAAAGATTTCTGCAATGCCTCGTATCGTAATGACGCCGGAAAGCAGCTTCACTATCGGTGGAGGTGACGAGCAAGAGCATTATGAAGTTGACAGGGGTCGAATACAGGTAGATGTTAACTGTCGCTGGTTAGCGAGACCAGGGCTTATTTTCAAAGCGACTGCTGGAAAAAAAAAACTTTTTCCTGCCTCGCCAAACCTTTTTGATAGTGCCTTACTTTATTCAGCGCGCTGGAGTTTCAGTCGACCTTTGACTTGTTTCTCAAACAATCCCCCAAAACACAACCACAGCTAAGGCTAAGATAGGATGTGCCAAGGTCATCGAAGTACAGTTAAATCTTCGGCGGCAATGGCAGCTTTCGAGCGATGCCATCGGTAACACTGAACATTGCACGAGCGAGCTATGCCAGTAAGCTAAACGGGGAAATAGGATGCGCCCACCTGGTTAGTGCTATCGCTTCGAAATTCATAGTGAGAGCGTTCTGTTAAACATCAAAGCGTTGAACTGTTAATAAGGCTTTCCCAGCGTAAATGGTTAATGCTGACAAACTTGTTATTACTTATTTCAGTTGTCCACTTTCGAAGTTAGATAACGACTAGTTCTTGAGGTTTAAAACTGACACAGTTGGGGAGATGGTCCACAAATTTGATGTTCTTCGACCAGAAAAGAATCCGCTACCGAAGCAAAACTTCTTCCCCTTTGCATCGTATTATTTCTAATTACGTCGCCCATTAAATTAAAAAAATCCCTGTTTTATTTTTTTTTAGCGTAACTTGGCGTCTCCTAGTTGGTTGGGCGGCACCCTACGAAAACCACGCATTTATTTTTCTTTTTTAAATTTGCTGCTCCTAAAAGTCAATGTAGCTCTCACTAATCGAATTTTTCTTATATCTTTCGTCTCAATCAAAAACTTTGGCGTCCTTGAAACGCGAAATGTGGATAGTATTCTGCCTTTTCTTGAATAAACAGGCGCTGCCAGATTTTTTATTTTCTTACGCAAGTTTTGAAAAATTCTTCCTTTGTCGTCTCACTTTCATCACAAATTTTTCCGGTAATTTTGTTTGCGATGATTTCAGTGGAACCACAAGTGTACTTGTAAACGAAAAGACTTAATTTTCAGAATGAAATTGAAGTTGCAATGGTCAGCAATGCACTGGTGCGAAAGGTAGGTTTTTTTTTGTAATGCACTAAAATATTAATAAGAGATAAACCACTTTTCTTAAAGTCCAAAATGCAAAGAACAGCTTTTGTGAACTGTATGTTTGGTAGTTTCTTTCTTGCGGATAAAAGCTGCAAGTTTTGTTGTAGTTTTCGAGTCGACGTCAGTCAGCTGTATTGGTTATGCTTGATAACGACAAGCTTACAACTGAAGACAACGAACCAAATCGTAAAAATGTTTGTTTCTTGAATTTTTGACCCCAATAACAAATTAGGTATGAATACCAGAGTGCCTCAGATTCTTTTCTTACCAAAAAAAGGTCAAGTTTTTCGAGAATACGCACTTTGGAGGATTGTTTAAAGCGGGAAGTAAAACTTTAGCACTTGAAAATTCTAATAACCAGGTTGAAAACAGAAGCGAATCTGCGCCTGTTTACAATTGTGTCTGTCTGTAGATGTGCCTGACCATATACTTGGGCTTTGTAACTGAAGAAGCTAGGAAGCTAAATTTCTGGATGTAAACCCACCACTGCGTACTGGAGTTCAAAACTAAGACGGCTGTGAAGTAGCTGTCCATTTTGGGGCTTGACATGAAGTCTAAACTTAGATAAATGCAATAATCCAAGGTCCAGAAGGATTACAGCTTGAACTTTGTAAACAAGGTTTGCAATCGTGCACAAGATCAACCCAAGTAATAACGCACCAGACTTGCCGACGCATCACGCGTATTTGCTCTGAACATGAAGCAATCAGACTTTAACGGTACGAATGGACTTTAACACATGGGCTAATGCTAAGTGTTTTGGCCTTTTATTGCAAACAGGAGGAAAAAGACGTCGGCTGAGATGGTAGTGTTTTACTATGAGGCCAAGTGAATTATTAATTTGGCATGCATGATTGTCCTAAACTTTGCATGAAAGGAAATGAATAGCTTCCTTTACCGGGTGTTCGTCAAAAAATGTAAATTTGACAATGAATAGGAAGTCGAGAGAGAAAGGTGTCGAAATTCGCAAAATGAGATTGCGATAAAACTGAGTATTTATTGTATAAATTGTCATACAGAATTTTAGAAACTGTGACTGTTTAATTTTTGGTAGTCAACTCTTGAACGGGCAAAAATTAGGAGTAATATACAAGAATTGCCTAGAGTCATGATATCTCACTAGACTTCCGGTATTGCTATGCGGGCCTTGTTATTCTAAATGGCCTGCGTGAAGCTTCCACCTGTCATGCTTTTCGTTCTTCAGTAGCCTTTCGTTTCACGAAGGCTACTTGCTAATCCGCAAGTAATAGCTGCATCTTAATCAACGAATTTTACTTCCCTTCATGGTCAAGTCAATATTCTATACATTGATTTCATGGAACATTACGCTACTTACGCTGTCTTTAACAGACATTCTAGGCACATCTGGGCATGTTACTTATCTCGTTATAACTGATGTTCATTTCCTTGCTGTTATCAGTCGCCGCATTTCACTTTCAAAACATTTAATGTGGACTTGTTGGCTTGATAATCCGAGTATATTGATAATGCTGTAAAATTTGCACCAATTTGTGCCGCATCGAATTGCAGTATTTATTTTTTCCTGGCCAGAGAAAAAATAAATATTAACTGAATTTGAATTCGTGCCATCTAGCCACGAGGTAGCTCCAAGCAGGCCAATTGCTTAAATAGCAATTAATATGAAAAATAATAGACAACAGTTAATGCAACTTCATTTGAATAATAAACCCAGGCTGGAACGCACCAGGCGAGCCGGTGCGATCATGCGTTTTTGCATCAAACTTTGAGGTAGGATAAAAGGAAAGAAGGAAAAAAGGAGAAAACCCAGGCTGGGACGCACCAGGCGAGCCGGTGCGATCATGCGTTTTTGCATCAAACTTTGAGGTACTCCATCCTATTTCCCTGCCCTTGCCTCACCCCCTCCACTCGCTGTTCTCGCCCCTCCCCCTTCCCCCGCACTCGCCCTGGATAT